CATCACTTCCAAGGTGGTTCCCAAGACGCTCTACAAGGTGGTGCCTCTCCGGATGTATCGGCTCTACGTAGAACGTGGGGCGATCATTCGGGGTGGGCGAGCTTTGATCGAGCTCCTTCCCTCTCGGCCGGATGAGTATCAATCCCTCCGCGATCACGGAGAGTGCCCGAACGACACTGTCGACCGCATCACCGACAGCAACGTGACGGAGCTACACACCTCGGGTCGACGCCAGAGGAGCGATCCCCGTTATGTGGTCATGGCTATCGATGCACGTTTCTTCTCCATGGAAAATGGGGGCATGCATATTACTCGTCAGGGTACATTTGCCTCGCGCGAGAACATCGCGATCGGATACTGGAGATGCGTTTACTTCAAGGAGGACTGCTCCATCATTTACCTGAGGCCGTGGTGCTATCCACCCAACTTCCTCAACTCTGTGAGAGATAACCCGAGGAAATGTCGGGACGAAATGGAGAAGTATCACCAGATCGCCAAGGCGGAACATGTCCGCGAGGTGGTGTCCGTTCCATGCCATAGGTGCATGACGGCTCACCCGGTCGGCGCTCACCTGTGCACCGCCTGCTACCTTCCCATCTTCTATGAGGGCGTCCTGCCCACCGGAGACACGGACGGCGGCCCTCGCACGATAGCGAGTACCAACGGGGTGGTCCCTCCCTGGCTGGCAAAGTACGAGGGCTTCGTCCCCGCTCTGTGGAACAACGCAGATGCCAACGCCATCGGGATGGCCCTCTACTCGCAGAGTCCCGCCGTCGACGCCCGGTCCTTGTTGATGTCTGGGATGCGGCCTCCTAAGTACCTCGACAAAGAGGACGTGGATGGCATTTTCCGAAAGCTTCACGACTCGCTCCGGGACGAGGTTGTTGACGGGAAGTACCGTGATACGGTCGACCACAACGTGGAAGACTGGGTTGCAAAGGCGATCTTGGTAAGAGGTCTTGCCTTCAACGGGAGCTCCGTCTCCGACTTTTTCGAGGAGTATGAAGGGTATGCGGCTGAATGGGGCAGACGCCTAACCACCGCAAACTTCAACGCCAACCGGTGCGGCTTTTACACGTCCTACTACATTCTTGAGGCCCATATCATTGGGCTGAGATCAGGACATCTTTCTCCGATACTCCCCAACGATATGTCTGGGGAGGGATTTAAGTTCCAGATGAGGCTGCTCGCTCAGCACTGCGGGATATTGCAGGCCATGCGGAGAAGGGCCGGATTCGATCCTGCTGCGCGCCTCAAGCGGGCTATGGACAAGATACGGGAAGGCGTTAAGAAGGGGTACGTCTACACCCTCAACGACCTCAGCAGTATGGACGATCTGATCTACCGGACGTCCACCGTTGCCTACGACACCTGCCTGGCTGACCGTCCTCAAACCCAGGATGATATAAAGCAGGAGCTGTCCGACCCTACGCCCCGGAAGTACCGCTTCCGACCTCGCGATCGTTATCGGCCCGGGATACGCCTTACACCAGGCCCCGGCGTGAAGGATGAAGACGAGCCCGACTTTGCTGGATCTGCGGAGGACGAGCTGGGATCGGATGGATCCTCGTGCGGCGAGGAAGAGAAGTCTGACGACCCTGACGAGCCCATGGACGATGACGAGGAGGAAATCCCTCCCCCTCCGCCGCCGCCCCCGGCTCCTCCTGCGCCACCTGTCCCGGTAGAACCGGAGACTCCCGTGGTGTCGCATGCGGGCGTCAAGCCTGGCGATGCTGTACCAACTCCTCCTCCTCCTCCTCCTCCCGCTCCCATTGCGGCTGACGTTACGACGGCTGAGGATCCTTTTGAGGACGAGGACGCGGCCAGCAATACTCGTGTCCCTGACACCGAGTCCGAGCTGGAGGGTGAGTCCGACCAACCCAAGGCCAGGAGGACATCTCATGGTCGGGTCCCCGCGCCCGAAAAAGGGCAGGGGGGCGTTCAGGTCCCGCCTGGCGGGCAACCCAGCTCTAAGAGCATGGCCCAGCCTGCCCGTCCCTCCCCGGTCCCCGCGAGAAGCGGTGTGGAAGGTGGGGAGAGAAGGGGCAGGACCAAGGGTTTCTACACCCAGAAGGATCCTATTACCGGCGAGGACGCGGCTCCCCGAGTTCGTCTTCGATCGGGTGGTCCCGGAACTCCTGCGTCCCCACCACGGGATGCCACCGGTTCCTTGGGCGGCCATGGCGGCTATGACCCGCGCGATGACGACAACGACGAGTGGGAGCGTCCCCCGGGTGTGCCTCGGACCACTCGTGCGGCAAATGAGTCGCGGCCCCGCCGAGATGACGATCGGTCGAGGACCGCGCTTGGGGCCCGCGAGGATCGTCGCGGTCCAAAGGGTGAGGGAAAGGGTCGAGGAAAACATCGACCTGGCAAAGGTGGACGCGAGGATCCTGGCCCGCCCCGACAAAGGGATGATCGTGGCAGGGATACCCGCGGAGGCCGACGCGATGATCGCCGACCTCATCCACGTCATGAGGAGACCTCCGAGAGGCGCGGTCCGGGACGAGGTGAGCGCCGCGGACGTGATGACCCGGGTGATGACCGTCGCGATCGCCACCGGGACCGGCGCAGGGATGACCGACGTCACCAATCAGATCCCCCTCCGCCTCGCCGACCTCCGGCTGGAGACCACAATAGGGGTGGTGGTGAGGATCGCCGTCGGGAGGGAGGAGGTGATCGAGGTGACCGTGGTGGACGCCGGAGAGACGACGTGCCCAGGGACCGGGAAGAACCTGGTTCAGGGTGGTAGGCGGGTACCGCAATCAGCATCCGCCTTAGAAGGGCGAGGATAGTACGTGTGTCGCCGAGAAACGCGACCGCGCCGGTCCTCCTCTCGCCTATGCGGCGCTGCTGGGGGTGATGGTCTCCATTGCCCTGTACCGCTGATCCGGCGTTGCTCGTGTCCCTCCCGCACCGCTGCCGTGCGCGCCGGAGACGGTTCCCCTGGCGATCCTGTGTGAGGCTGAGACCGCACTAGAAGTGCCGGGCCGGCCGTAGCCGGGTATTTTCACACCAATTTCGGAACGTCCTTCTCTTCTGTGATCCCAACGCGTTTACCACTCCAACCACTTCGCGGCGTGCAGTGAGGCGCGGTGATCCAGATAGGATCCCCCTCCGCATGTTGTTGTCCCATGACAATGCATGAACGGCACGAGAGGACTCTTCGTCTGGTTCCTCCATAATGTCTCTGTTCACTCATGTGGCCCACTCGTCAAATAATCCTGTCGCCCCGCTAATTCGGGGTGGTGGCGGGATTTTAACTGGGGCCCAGGTGCTGCCGTTGGCTCACCTCTGAGTTGACTCCGGCATTTTTGGTTGGTCCCTTTCGTCGTGAACTCAACTGTCTCGCATCCTTTCTCTTGTCCAGATATCGGATGAGGGGGGTGTGTTTTGTTCACGTGTTGTTTCTTCATATGTCAAAGCGGCCGAACGGCCGTTTGGCTCAAGTTTTTACCTCCCGTCAAGTGGGAATAGGACTCACGCTCGTGCGCCATTCACTGGCAGCTTTCTTCGTCCTCGAGCCGAAAAGGGTCGGGGCCGCGGGCGGCTGGGTGTAGGAGGTGCTCGGTGGGTCGCGCTGTTCTACTTGGGCTTGGTATTGTACTTAATCCTCTTCAACTTGATTTCAAACATCCCCATACTTCTCCATTGTCAACCGTCACTTCCTCAACCCGGTCATCATCCACAGCTTCACCCGAGTTGTGTTTCCGGGTGCTTTGGGTACATCGTGATCTACTTTGTGCTCATTTGCTTCCCTGGGCTACTTCGTGTTCGCCCAAAACCGCAGATTTGATTGATTGATTTGATTGATTTGATTGATTGATTGATTGATTGATTGATTGATTGATTGATTGATTGATTGATTGATTGGTTGATTGATTGATTGATTGGTTGATTGATTGATTGATTGATTGGTTTGATTGATTTATTGAATGATTTATTGATTGATTGATCGATTGATTGATTGATTGATTGATTGATTGATTGATTGACTTGATTCATTTGATTGATTGATTGATTGATTGATTGATTGATGATTGATTGATTTGATTGATTTGATTGATTGATTGATTGATTGATTGATTGGGATTTGATTTGATTTGAATTGATTTGATTGATTTGTTTTTTTGATTTGATTGATTTGATTGATTGATTGATTGATTGATTGATTGATGATTGATTGATTTGATGAATTGATTGATTTGATTGATTTGATTGATTGATTGATTGATTGATTGATTGATTGATTGATTGATTGATTGATTGATTGATTGATTGATTGATTGATTGATTGGATTTGAATTGAATTGAATTGAATTGAATTGAATTGATTTTGATTGATTTGTTTTGATTTGATTTGATTTGATTGATTGATTGATTGATTTGATTGAATTGATTGATTGATTGATTTGATTGATTGATTGATTGATTGATTGATTGATTGATTGATTGATTGATTGATTGATTGATTGATTGATTGATTGATTGATTGATTGCTCCTTTTTTTGGTTGGTTGGTTCGTTGGTTCGTTGGTTCGTTTGTTGGTGCCCTTGGTGCGAAAGGCGGTGAAACTGAGTTGTTTGTTTTGGTAAGACGCGTTTTTGATCAGACAGTTTCTAATTGGTAGTTTGGATTGGTGGCTTGGATTTGGATTTGAAGCCCCTGGCTTTTGTGGAGGGTAGAAGAGAAACCACGCGAGCACCAAATCACCAAGCCAAACTACCAATTCGAGGGAGGGTGAGATATCCAGTGCTTGGGTCGCTTCTCTCATGGTCGCACTGCAAATGGAGGGCTTGTACTTCCGGAAGAGGTAGCCTGGGCCAGAAAGGGTCGTCGATCAGTTCGAAACAAGTACCATCCCACCAATTAACCTGACGTTCCGGGGTCCCTTCAAATGGAAAATGGTCCAAACCAGGACCCCCGAACGTCAGGTTCCATGTTAATTGGTGGGATGGTACCGTTCACAAGCCGCGGCCAAGTCACAAATCGGGGCTCAGGTTGTCAACACGCACATTTTGTGCGACCCTGCGGCGGCTGACGTGAAGCTCTTTCAAGCCCATTTGCTCCTCAAGGCGTGCGTCATCTCATTCAAGTGAATTTAAAAACCGCTTTTGCTGTTTGGTGGCTTCCTTACCAAACCTGGTCAACCCGAGGGAAAACAAGGTTCCCTTTTTAGACTAATCCTCCTCGCTGTGGCAGGGATGTTTCTTTTCTTGAAAATGGTTTTCGCCCCGCCCCAACCTCCATGAATCCAGTTCGTTTGAGACCGTATTTTTTAAAACGGATGGTCGCGAACTTGCGAACTGCCCTTTGATTCGAAAAGCCTCGCAAAATGGCTTACAAGAAGGATCCTAGTGAGGTTGCTGGGACGTTGGGATTGGGGACTCTTGCTCTTCCTTCCCTCCTTCCTCTCTTCCTTCCTTCATTTCTCTTGTTCATGCGTTCTTTTTGTTCCTTCCTTTCTTCCTTTCTTCCTATTCCTTCTTGTGTATTTGCTTTCCTCTTTTTCCTTCTTGTCCTTGAGTTTTCTGTGTTTTCGACTGTTCCTTTCTTTTCCTTCAGCTTCCTTTATTTCTATGTTCCTTTCTTCGTTCCTTTCTTGATTGCTTCCTTTTTTCCTTCCGTTCTTCCTTCCCTCATGTCTTCCTTATTTCCTTTCTTTTTGTTCCTTTTCTGTTCTTTCCCTTTCCATGTTTTTTTTCCTTCTTAGCCTTTCTTTTCTTTTCTTTCCTGTCTTCCTTCATTCCTTCCTTCTTTATTTCCTTTCTTCAGTTTCTGTCCTTTCCATTTCCATGTCCTTTGTTTTCCTTCATTTTCCATCATTATGTTATGAATTTGCTTGATTGTCCTTTCTTTGTTTAGTTCTTCTTCCTTCCTTCCTTCCTTTGGTCCTTTCTTCCTTTCTTCCCTATCTGATGTTTATGGTGCTTCCTTCATTGCTTCCTTTCTTTATTTTGTCCTTTCTTTTCTTTCTTTCTTTCTTTCTTTCTTTCTTTCTTTTCTTTCTTTCTTTCTTTTCTTTCTTTCTTTCTCTTTCTGTCTTTGTTTCTTCCTTGTTCGTGTTTCTTGGTTGGTCATTTCTTTCCGCGTTGAGTCCTGCCTTCTTTCGTAGTTTCCCCTTCTTGGTTGTTTATTTACGTCTTTGTTTCATTGATTTCTCTTGGTTGGAGGCGAGTTTTGCCGAGCGTGTGCCAAGCTTAGCAGCCGTGCCTTGCTCCACATCTTGCCCCCCCTCGTTGTCCAGGCATCGCTGATGTTTATTTCCCCCGTTGTCTTTTTGGCGGTTCTAAATGGATCAGCGTGTTAAAATGAGATTCTGAATCGGGGGGGGGGGGGGGTGTTGGTGAAATGTAGGGAACGGTTACTGAGCAACTTGGGTTGACGTATTGACTCACCCCAAAATCGGCCTCCTTTTTTCCCATGTTCCAGGTTTAGTCAGGCTAAAGACCTTTCGTTTCCTGGCGTTTCTCAGAACCCCCAAAATGGATCGCCCAGACATACCCAGCGTCTCCTTGCATTCGCTTAAGAATATTCTTGTTATTTTCCCCTGTTGGTTTTAAAGGGAATCCATCAAATTTCCAGTGGGTGGACGAAGTCCTGCACCACCTAAAAAGTCCCAAAAACATGATTTCACCCATGGTTTCAAAGTGGTGCGGTGCTGGATTGCGTCCATCCACAGTATTTCTATTGGCCTTTAATAATATTATTGTTATTTTCCCCTGTTGGTTTTAAAGGGAATCTATCTATACTGGAAGTATATCTATTTTTGTCCCACGGGCGGCCCTTCCGCAAATGGAAGTCCCGGTGCTCCATCAAAATTCCGTGAGAGAAGCCACTCCGACAGGCCATCCAGGGCACCACCGGAGGGCGTTTGCCCATTCTGGTGTGCGGCGCCTCGCAGGGAATTCTTCCGATTTTTCCGGGAGATCCGCCGAGATCTCCGGATGGACTGGGAAGGAATGGCAAGGAATTGGCAAACCACTTGGTTCAGACCTTGGATGTCCCACATGTGCCCGGTGATTAGGAAAAACATATTGAAGGGACGCTGTCCATTCAGTTTGGAGATGGTTTTGCAAAAGAATCGGGATGCAATCAATTCACCTGGGAAACCGGTTGGACCCTTTTTGTCGACGGCAAGGGGACAAGCCTTCGGTTTCAGTCCGCGGGGCCCCCGTTCCCCTCTTGAGGCAGCCCAGGGCCCCTGCTTCGAACTGAGTCACGGGGAGTTTTGTGCGGATCGGAGGATCGGCCGGGTTTTCTCAAGTTTTGGCGATGAAGGGGAGACGCGGAGGGCCGAGCTTCGGCTTCAGCTGTCGCATGGTTGGTATGGAGGCGTTTGCTAGAGATCGCAACTTGGCCCTTGCAAACACAGCCGGAATCGACCTGTTTGAATGGACTCGGGCATCACAGACGAGCTTCTTTGTCAAAACCAAGCCCAAAAAGGCCCAGCTCCTTTTGACATGCAGCCATGTCCAGCCATTTGATTAACGGGACCGAAGTTAACTGGCCGGACATCTCAGCAAGTCTGGGCAATCGCAACCAGGCGATTTCAATTCGACACCCGACTCGGCGGTGTACGAGTACTTTCGGCGTGGTCAGGTTCCTTGGCAAGGGATGTGACCAGATGTGACATTGGCGGCTTCAGACCCTTCTTAGGACCCCCTGACTCTTGAACATATGCATTTCTTTGAAGCAAAACACACGGCCATTGATTTGACTTTAGTTAGCCAAGCTTGACTGCTTAAAGTGCCAGCTGTCTTCAAACAGGCTGCTGCCATTCTTGAAAGCAATGTTGACTGGCAATGCTATTTGCCCGAGCTGAAATCCCGCAAAAACATGCGTACTGTATATCATCATACGTTACATACATATATATATATATAGGTACGAGTAGCGCGATGCTACACGGACAGTACAAGACCTGGTCGGGCCATCAAAGTTGGCCCCAGGTACCAGCGGTACTGCTCACGCCGTGCCCTGCAGACAACAACAAGTCCGGCTATATACAAATATATATATATATATATATTTGTATACATATATACATATAGATATACACACGCACATATATATATATACACATATGTGTATATACATATATATATATACATACACATACACATACGCATCTACCTGTATATATATATATATATATACATATATATAGATATATATTTCTGTGTGTACGTATCCCACTGTGCCGCGAGCTTGCATCAATCAAGCCTGCATTTGCGGCCTCGGCAACATCAGGTGAGGCCTGACCACGACGACTTGAAGAAAGACCCTTGTGGCATCATGAGGCCGCGGCCTTTTGCGAGATTTGGTCCAATGCTTTTCGCGTTCATGTCGCATGAAATCCAGGTCGGCCACCTGAAAGAAGATCCCTCTAACTACAAGTTGAGGGTTTACTGGGTTCCACGTTGAGGAGGGTAGTCTCCTAATCCTGGGCCATAGTGTTTTGATATGCCACCTTGAGCCCGAGCGGCCTGGAGCGGTGGTTTTCATGTAGGACAAGGTGTGACCCAAGGTAGTCTGTACAGCCGGCGTCGAGCACTTGTTTGGAAGGCTGCTTGATTACAGCCAGCCTTTGCCCCCCAGATTTATAGGCCAAGCAAGCGATGTGGCAATTTTGTGGCTTACTTTCCAGTTCTTTGGTCGAGCACCTATGCCGCAAGTCGCAGGAACCTCAGCTTGCGCCACAACACTTGCATGGTCACTGCGTACGAGACTTGCACTCACAAGGAGGCAGGGTACTTGACGGAATGGGCCATGGCTAGGGACCCCCGGAGCATTGCATGTACATCCACACGCCATTGGAATTTACAAAATTCCCTTGTTTTCGGTTCCCTACTTGCAATCTTTGAGGTGGTTTTGTGTTTTCCGGAGAGACGGGCATGAGCAATAAGTGGGTCTTTCAGGCTGAGGGCTGAGCAAGCATCGGTAGAACTCCGCAAGCCGTTTGTGGCAGTTACAGGCTACAGGGTCCTTGTCTCATGAGATCGTGGAAGGCCTCCTGGCCAGAAAGTCGTGGTAAGCCCTTTTGGGGCATACTAAGGCTAAGGCTTCCCCAAAGCAACATCAGGAGTACCTCCCAGCGGGACCGCCTGTATGGTGTTTTTTGTTCTCTGGTGTTTTTGATGTATTGCCGGTTTTGGAATGACCAAAGATTGCAGTTTCATAGCCGCGCAATGTTCACATGGGTCACATTGGGACCCCCACGTCGCGGCTTTGCTCAAAAGGCAACGTGACTTCTGTTGAGATCCATGTTCCCAAGGCCGACCTTTTATTGCGGTTCCATTTCGAGAAGCCAATGTGATCAACGAAGAACAAGGCTACAAATATAGCATGAACTTGCTGAGGGTGCTGTATGTTCCCTCCAGCCTGAGCGACCGTGCTCATTTGGAATCGATTTGACAGCCAAGCGCAGCATCGCTGCCAGGCAACATTCACAAACTACACAGAGGATTTCAAGGGGACCTTGGACTACATTTGGCCGCTCGGCGGTTCCATGCGCAAGGCAACATATCCACACGATTGGACAGTCTGTCTGCTCGGGCTTGGGCAGAGACATGTCAGAAGTGATGGAACGAACCCAGTCATCAACTGGTTGAGGAGTGGGTCGGCGGCGATTCTTTTAAGGCCTTAAGGTTTGGCATAGCACTTGGTTTGCATTGGCACTCATGTTGTGTTGTTCCTTCGGGTTCTGCCGCCTTGCTTAAAGAGACTCTGTTCTGGTGATATTGATTATTGCACTGCTGAACTTGTTTCATATGTTTGTTTTCTAGTCATGACTTTATTTGTTCCGTTTGATTGGGCCGATCCTTGTGTTGTTGCTTGTACTTTCCTTATTCATTTGGGTTCATTTATTTGTTTCTGCGCATTGCGTGAGCTTTGACCTACAATTGCTAGATCATGGCACGTTGGTTAGTCTAACCGTTGCAGATAGCTTACATTTCCGCTTTCCCTCACCTGAAATCACCAGCCCACAGATGAAAATCGTTATTTCCGCCAACTGTGGGCACTTATAAAGACGTGGTGGCAAGCAGGGCAAATAGCGGCCTGGTTCCCTCGTGTCAGCAATTGGCCCCAGGCTTGGTCAAGGAGATTGCTTTACCCAAACGAGCAAAGCCATCAGAGGTTTCCAACTGGCCACTTCTCTCGGAACTCGTGTGACATTCATTAATCTCTTCACTCTTCCCATTTGAAGCCATTCCTTCTGTCTTACGTTTTAATGGCACCTTCTTCAAGCTGCCCTGAAGCTTAAGGAGGAGATGTAGGGAGCCCTTCTATCAGGTTGAGCATGGGGCAAGGAGAGGATTCACACTCGCGCCGAATCACGCATGGACCTTCGCCCGGCAAATTTATGGCGACCGCACAAAAGAGAGCCTGCCACATCACACATCAAGGTTCCCTGATGCTTGTGAGGCATCAGATTCACTAGTCGGATCTCTGTAAAAGGAGCCTTTGGTACCAAGGGAAGCCCCTTCTCAGTGGCGCCATTTGGAGTCCTTCTGGGTGGCTACCCCAAATTCGTGTTCGGAGATGATCGACCCGGCTCAGGTTCTCACCGGAGAACCTCTCAGTGCTAGCTATCTCCCAAGTGGACGACGAGTCGCAGCTTTCACAGGACAGTGCCTCCTTTGCTTCGGGCTGATGGCCAGAGCAGTTTGGTGAGGTTTTTCGCTCGGAAAAGAGGTTCCGGCTCAATTCCACTGGCTTCAATTTGCCTCGTTCCATCTAGTAGCCTGCTTGATTTCACAAGCGACTCTGCAGAATCCAGGCGACTTTGCCTCAAGAGTCAAGCCTCTCTGAAAAGGTTCACTCGCGCTTTTCTGAGCTATCATGGGAAGGTTTGAGTATTCATGCCGGGAGTTTAGTTAACCTCCATTGCAGTTGTCAAGCCTGCTTTGCGTTTAGCTCTGCGTGGTCCTTTTTGTAAGTTGTGTCTTTCATGAAGTCAGTCCTCTGCGACGGCAGGCATCCTCACTTTAGATGCCGCTCTGGATCCTATCCAGCTTTTCAGTTCATGTTTGGTATGGCAGCTGCAAAATTCCCAGCCGGAAGGGATAGAAATTCGACCTCCCCTAGGTTCATTCTTTCGGGATTTGGTGAGTCCTTTTCGGGGCTCCCGGCAATCGATTCACGGATCCTGCGCCAAGACTCACACGGGCCCCCAAAGGGGCATGTTTACCCATGTGTTTTTCGCATAGGGCCAGGTCCCAACAATATGTCACACCTCACTCAGTTTCCTTCTGGTGCTTTGCTTAAAGCCGCCCAAAGGGGTCCAATCGGCGGCCACCTGCAGCCATGTCAGGAGAGCGCGTTGCCCTCCAGCACTCGGCCCTCAGATCACGTGTCCCTAGTGGCGACCTTCATGTTCCACGACACCCCTACTGAGCAAGAGCAGGCCAACGGGGATGTCAAATGGGCGTGTTGTGTTTTAGAGGGCCTCCCCAAAATGGCATCGGTGTCCCTTTCAGTTTCCTTTTGAAAGCCACAAAAGAGGGTTACCAACTCGAAAGAAAGACAGAATGCGAAAGGGACGCCAAAGCTTCCTGTTGAATTTATTTGAAAGGTAAGCCAAGAGGAAACTAACGGGTTTCCCCATTTGGGGGACAAAGCCTGTGAGAGGTGACGATTTTGCTGGTATTCATTATGTGCCCGTATGCGCATTCCACATGCCATGATGCTGCTCTTCTCCACTTCTGCCTCGGCTATTGTAGTTATTATGTTGTTCCAAAGGGGATGGGCATTGGAACACGTTGTTGGCCTCAACCACAGCATTGAGTGTCCGATCGGCCAACTATTTGACATTGACCTTAGTGTTAATTCACGGAAATGCACACACCTCAGCCTTTCCGAATGAGAAACCCTGCTCAGCCAAATGGGAAGACCCATCATATGAATAAATCAGCTATCGCATTAGCCAAGCAAGCAAACAGTCATCCTTGAGGCAACTAGCTGGTACTGACTAGCGAACCAGCCAACTGACCAAGCAGTTACCGAGCAGGATGATGATATTCAGCTGATGCTGCAGAAGTGCGAAGAGCCAGCTTTTCTACTGGTCACACATTTTTTCCGCCCAATATCGCACGCAAGCCCGACACAGCAGGGTAGTCAGTGCCCCCAACCTGCACCAACTCCTAAATTTGGACGCCAGATGCTTGATTGCTCTTTGCCCACCTCGAAAGGCACCCTTGAATTCACACGTCCATCTTGGTCCATATGCTCTTGGGAAGGGATCCGGAGCACAGAATCGTCAACCAACACAGGCGCCGCATGCGTTGCGCTGTCAGGTTCCGAGGAGGAGCATCCTCATGGCCAGCCATGCGCACTCTGGTATGGCGCCTTGGCCGCGCTGTCTGGGGCGGGTTGGGCCGGGTTTGTTTATAACAGCTATTTGTCCCTACTGTGGGTGGACGACATCCTGCACCACCTAAGAACCATGGAAATCCATGGTTTGTTGGTATCAAATGGGGAACCATCATTTTAGGGTTTCTTAGGTGGTGCCGGATTTCGTCCATCCACAGTATTTTGTTATTTGTGTTTGCTTATATCTGTTACCTACCGCAAACACAAGATTCGCAACATTACAAGGATACAAAAGGCTTGGGAGTTGGCTTCACGCAGTGATAAGTTCTGAGAACAGTTCAGCCAGCTGTCAGCTTCTGTTGCGTCTCTCAACCGGAGATTGTTTGAAAGGATGGCAGCCACGACTCGCTGACCAAGCAACTTACCTGCCCACAATGCCAACAAGGTTCACGTTCGACAAGCGGCCGCCGTTGTAGTTTCAGTTGGTTTGCCAGTTTGCCTCCTTTGGCCTGTTGGTTTCGCTTGGAAAGCACTTAAAACGACTCGCGAACTTGAGTTTGCTCTGCTGAGTCCACGCTTGGCCCGCATTTCTGAACCTGCGCCCCACAATGCTCTAAGCAGGGCTCCTTTACCCCCTGTCAAAGAAACGCAACAGTCGGACTTGTTTGCAAAGAAACCGTGGGTAAACCATTGTCTATTGTTTCTCTTCTTTTTTTGTTCGAGCTTACAATGCTTAACTTGAGGATTCCTGATGTCAGGTTTTGGAATTGTGAAATTTGCTGGCGTTTGGCCCAGTTCTCTACAACTGCCTTTGCAAGGCGCACCACATGGGTCAACACTACGTGCACAGCACAGGGCCTGGAGGCAGGATGGCAGTGTGGATGGGAAGTGTTTGACATGCTCCCCGCTTTTGGATCGTTTGCAAAGGGCCACCCACAAAATGGCTGGTGTCCTTTTAGTTTCCGCTTAGAACGGTGAAAACCGATTTGCGCTCAAAACAACTCTTGCTGACCCAGTTGAATTCATTGGGTTTGGCCTGCTACGTTTAAAGTTATACACCAAGAGGAAGCCACACTAATTTCGATTCATACCCAAGCTTCGAGTGACCATATTCCATGGATCCCAAATAGAATAGAGAAGCCGCATCAGTCCGACTTCCCATTTGATGCTGTCCGAAGCGGCGACCGAACTGGGATTGAAGAGCGGTTTCAACCCCATGAAGGTCCCCTCTGAATTGTATTTGCAAACATCTCTTGGAAAGGAGGATCTTGAAGTTTCTCTTCAGTGAGATGCTGAAGTTTGGCCAATTCATTTGACTCTCGTACTTCTGGAATTCGTGTAGCAATCGAACAGGAGGCGGGACAAACCTCGGTTGGCGTGGATCCGTCGTATTTTTGATTGGGGGGGAGCCAAAGTTAGGGATCAGGACACATGGGTGTAGCAACACACGTCGCAACACATAAAGATAAATCACAAGGACACGCATGTGCACTCGGACAAGCCATGTTTTGTTGCTGGCCAGTTTCATCCCCGGGAACGTTGTATTGTGTGATTATCAAAGCTGGAATGCCAGACAGATGCTTTGATGTGTGTGGTGGCTTTGCACGGGTAGAAGCGACCCCTCTTGTTGCTAGCCTTGCTGGTGCACGCATTACGCCTGCATCAAGCTGTGCCTTGAGGTTTCCCGACAGGTCCATGATGACTCATTTTCCGCGCCTGGAAGCCGCATGGCATAAATGAAGTGTCAATTTCCAGCAAAGCAAATGCAATTCTTCCCGGTTCAGACCTGGCATCATGAATACATTGCCAGGTGTATGGTGGGTGGTCTGGCAAGATGAGTCAATGTTGGACGTCACGTGCTTATGCAAAACCGACATTGCCTAGTCTTACGACTTGGCCGCCTTGGTGGCGTCCCTGTGATGTTCGAAGGGGTATGTGTCGAAATAGGTGTCCTCAGCGGTGTGCTCTTGATAATCAATCCACAAAAGCGTACTAAGCAGGCAGTTTGCGACGGCCTCGAATTCTGCTTTGCCAGGTGACGGGATGTACGCCATGGGAGGCATGCCATATGCGCAGCAGTACTTGTAAAGAGCGCCTCGGCAGGATTCAATTTTTCCAGGTAGTCTCCAGGTAGTAGGTTCCCTTAAACTTACTGTAAGAGCATATGTACTTCCCATTCTACTAACAACAAATCGACCCGGCAGACACCCTTAAGGGCAAGCACATGATGCTTCTGAGGCTCTATGCACTAAGGCTCGGATCAGAGAGGCCAGGGATACCTGTTTGGGGGGGGTGCTTGACAATCCCGATGGAACAGACTGGGGGGCAAACGGAGGTTGGTTTTTGCATGTGAGGCGATTTTTAGCCCTCTACACGACCAGGATGAACCGAATCAGCATAAGTCAATCGACATTTGCGGGTGAACACATGGGTTGCCGCTTCCGTTGCCCTCGGCCAAAGTCACATGGCCCTGGTTTCGCATGGTTGAAATGTTACCATGTTGGTGACATGTTGGGGTGCTTGCCCGCCCCCACCCCCCCACCCTTTGCGATGGCCTGGCTGAAGGAATCCAACGATGAGATACCGTGGAACCCTGCGACATACCCAATCTCGAGAAGCCTTCTTCCATCCTTTTGCTAAATCCATCAACTGATTTGGTGTCTGCAAGTAAGGAACTTGACCTCCTCGGCAAGTCGGCAGAATTACTGCTCTAGTGTCCGTGGTGTGTTTTTGAGTTGTTCATGTTGTTTGGCTCTGTTAATTTGATTTAGCTTGCACGCATGAACACCCTGCCCATTGCGCAAAGTTCGCTGCTCACATACCAAAGGTTTAGAAGATTTGGCCAACGACTGCAGGGTTATAAGTTATGATGGTCTTGTCAGATTGCCGTCACGTTCTTCACAGCCGTAGGCCTTTTCATGGATGCAAAAACATGTGGTAAGTATAATTGGCGTAATGCTAGAGTGGCAGCCTTTTCCTGGGAACCCTAGTTTTCCAACACCAAAATAAAGGCGGGAGCCTTAAACACAATGGAGGGATCCCAGGAGTCCGGGGCTTGGGATTTGTGTCCGGATGAAGCCAGACATAGCCTTTTCGTTGACCTGCTTTTGTGAGTCCCCCATTGCAAAGGTTTCAACTACCTCCAATCCACTCCTCAAAGTACATAGTATGCATAGCATATTTTGTCCTTTGCGGGGGTGGCTGGAAGCACTCCACTTTTAGCCTCAGGCAGAGCCGCCCATCGAGTTTTGAAGAGCTAAGCCGTCTGGCTGCGGCTGGGAGTTGGCCTCTTGGCAACTGAGTTCCAGCTCATCCCTCTAGTGACTTACGAGGCGTTTGACTCAATATAGGTATGAGGTTCGATTGGCAAATCCTTTCTTTGTCTATCGTGCATTTGAGAGGGGTGAGGGAAGCTGATAGACTACACTCAATACAAATATGGAGTCCTTGATTCTTACTTGCAAGGGCGAGAGGGCCAAGGTAACTTCCGGTATAACCATACGGCTGTGCTTGTATTGGTTGAGGCTTCTCAACTGTGCAGACTGTCAAGATAAGAAGACGTTTTTGATCAACTTACGTGCTGCCGCCTGGTTTGATAGGGGGTGAAGTGAGGGTCTGCTTCGCTGTGTAAACCCGGGTTTGTAAAAGCAAGGCAGGACCCACACTTTGGTCCGTTCCTCAGGTGGAAGAAAAGGGGTTTGCTTCTTAGGATACTGTGGGCGAAGAAACCTGGCTGGTATCACTCCCCAAGAATATTTTTGCCCATATAATTACACAGTACTGGACAATCATCACTGCGCAGGTAGTAGTACGTGTATGTATGCATATCTATAAATATATACATGTTCATATGTTTGCACATGCATGACCCTTAAGTTAGAAAGCTAAGAAATACAAGCGGCAAAAAGTATATATAGACGGATATAAAGGATAGGTGGGTGGGAAGGATAGATAGAACGGATAGATAGATAGATAGATAGATAGATAGATAGATAGATAGATGGATAAAGAGAGAGAGAGAGAAAAAAAAAAGAGGTAGAGAGATAGAGAGGTAGAGAGGTAGAGAGGTAGAGAGATACGTAGATAGGCTGCCCAGGCCGCCGTGCGTTATTGCATCGCTCTTGGCCCTCATGCTGCCGGAGGGGTAAACAGGGCCCGCTGACAACGAGGAGGGTTGGGCACGGATTTGCGACCAAAAACAAGCACGTCTTGCGCAAAGGAAAGAAAAGGCAAGAGAAACAGAACAAATCAAGAGCTAGAAGGAGACAGATAGAGAAAGAAAGAGACGCTGGAAGAGAAAGGAAAAGCGAAAAAGAAGGAGCAAGAGCAAGAGACAGATAACTATAGTACTGTTATCTGTCAACCCCCGCCAACTGGCTTCGGCGCGACTGGTATCTGTATAGACCTGTTGCGGCTGGAACTTCATCTTAAACTTCATTTGAGTTTGGCGGCAACGTTGTTTCCAATGGGTTCTCGAATTGGCCTACACTCCCTCAGGCGAACATGGAAGCTTCCGAGAACCCCTTGAAAGACTTGGTTCCATTTAACAAAGGACTTGGCTCCATTTGCAAAAGCCTTCCAAAAGCTTCCCAGGTTAGTCTAGCTTACTCCGGAGGGTAACCATTTTTCACCCAGAACGGGGACAAATCTGAACATCTGAGGCCATGAGGCCGATGCCAGCGTCGAAAAAGGCGTCGGTCCGTCGCTATGGATCCGGTTCCCGGAGCTCCAATGGGACGTGCTGAGGGAGGTGATGGCTATCAGCTTGGATATGGATGTTTACATACCTAATAATAATAATACTAATAGTAATGATAATAATGACAATGATAATAATAATTATATATATATATATACATTGCCTATGCACACATAGATACATATTTGGCTGGAGCCATGAGGAGCCCTCAGGGATACATGCCAACAGTCCTTGCATTGCAACCCTTGCATTCCGGCAGAGCTTTCCAGCGCATCGCATGCGGACGTGCCGCTTGTCGGATGCGCTCCTTTGGGCCGTTTGACTGTGAATCGACGTCATGGAGCTCCGGCGCTTGACAATTCACGATGGAAATTCTCATTGTGCTGACAAATTTGCGGCACTCGCGAGGGCATGGTTGTGAATGGCCTGGCTCGGCCGTTGAACGCTCCGGCGGCAAATGCGTTTTTTTTGTGGCCCGAGCCTAATGGTTCGCGGATCTTGCCAATGTTGGCCTTCCCTCGGTATTTTGCGCAAAACTTGCCTGTGACTCAGTTTCCATGTGGCACAGGTTGCCAATGGTGACCCTAGCTGGCTTTCAGGGATGGCCATCGAAACTAGGACCAAGTGAGCGAAGTGACTTTCAAGCACCTGACAGAAGAATTTGGCAGCTGGCAAGGCTGGGCCAGAGGTGCAGTTTGCCAATGGATATTTCAGTGCCCTTTGCACTTGTGTCACTGAATGTCGACCCCGGATTAATAAGCCTGTCGGATTCATAGGGGGGTGTTCCTCCCAAAAGGGAAGATTTCCCACTACGATGGCACACCCCCCTATTAATCAGCCAGGAGTTTATTACTCCTGAGTTCCCATTATTCCCGCGGAGTTGCAGTTAACAGTAGGCTGACCTTGGGAAAAAAAAGGGTGCCGCGCATTTCATGCTGCTGATCGGGCTCATTCCGTGGCTGAAGTTCATTCCAAAACCAAGGAAACCCAAGCAGCTACCATTCCTGTGCTCAACGATGAGCTGCGAAAGAGCCCCAGAAATGTTTATAAGCCTTTGCGCATGTGGAGCTAGCCTTAAAGTTGTTGCCGGAAGCAGGTGAACCATACGAGGACCTGAATACTTACATGGGTTGGGGCCGCGGAAGCTGATTTAGTCTTGCTTATAGACGTGAAGTATTGGCAAAAGCAACTCTTTAAAATTACTTCAACGTGCGTCATATTTGGTTTTCTGAAGGCCGTTGACATGGAGCACTGAAGGGTTGGTCCAATGGGGTCTAGCAGAGCAGAAATGCGGATGTGTTTCGACACGCCGAGGCTAGCATCGAGTGCAACATGATTGCCGCAGAAAGGTCAACATGCAAGGGTCAAGCAAGAAGGATTGATTCAATACTGCAATCGTGATTGCCTACTTGGGCACTACAAAGAGTTGCTAATTGAACTGGCGAGTTGTGAATAAGAGAAGCTGCTCACAAAGAGTTGCCGTGGAGCCAATTCGGCACAGGCGTTGCGCCCCCCCCAGCTGTCACAAAGCAGTGGCTCCACTTTGCGCTGCAGGGCTGTGTGTTGAAGCCAGTCACACGCAAAATGAAGGTTCACCAAACGACAACATGTTTTTTGCCAGCTGGCACCTGGTTGGCCAATGCCTGTGATAGCGTTGTTCACCTTGCTAAGGAACTATTGCCAATTCTTCTCAGTAAGCTTCCATCTTCCATGAAAGATGGACCGCACATAGTGATGTTAGCTTCGGATCAATCCGGAGGACCGTGCAAATCAGCGGTGGTCTCCTTTGCGTACGGATGTTCAGGTTTAATTTAAGGGACTCTTGTGATTTGTATGTTAGTCGCAGGTTGACCGCACAACTCAATTTCTCCTCACCCGTCTCCAATTCAACCCTACTCAACTTTTGGTGTGTGTTTTTGAGGGTGCCTTTTCCAGGTTTAGAAGGGCAACCAAGAGGCAAACCACAATTTTACAGTTTTTGGGGGTGGGTTCCCGAATTGTTTGAGACATTCCCAACCATTTTGGTGAACTCCGATCCGAACCTCATCGCTCTGCCAGGCGCAGGTGCTATTGAACGCGCGCAGGAAAAATGCCGCCGCACTGGGCGGAGTTGAATGGCTGACTCTCAGATTCTAGCGGAAACATTTGAGGTTTGCGACCTCACTTGGAAGTTGAGTGGAAGTTGGAGTTGGTTTGAGAATCAAAATCGTACCCGTTCAAAAGCAAACGAAAGGAACCTGCACAGTCCAACGAAAAGGACACACCATGACCAGAACTGGAATCCCTGTGCAGGTTCTGTGTTTGCTTTTGGGAGGATACTCTCCCTATGCCCAGATTGAAATCCGCCATCCAATGCTGGAGGGTGTCCGCACACCCAAATCCCAACAATCGGAGGCTCCCTTTCCGCATGCAAGCACTGCCGGGCAAACTTCCAAGAAGACTTCAAGCAAAAAGGCCAAACCAAACCACAAGTTTTGGTTGCACGTTTACTTCCGAGGGCTTTCATAACTTTGCAGGGGATACATATGAATTCAACCTTGGCATGATTTGCCCTGGTGATATTTTAGTTTTGGTGGGTTCACGTAAGGGGAAAGTAGGGAGCCCTACTCAAAAAAAGTCGACCCAAGCCCCAGGAATTAGGGCTTCACAAGCTTTTTAAGCGGGAGTCAGTTTTTGTTCGGCACCAAATGGGCCGTGGGTATCTTCTTCGAGCCCAGATGGCGCCAAAGACACTACAAGGCGAAACATTTTCGAGACATCCACGAGTACCAGGATGCTGGTTGAGGCTAGGAACGATAGAATCCTTGGGACTTCTAGTTGCACTTGCATCTTTTGCTTGTGACACATCCCTTTGTGACAAATGTGCAGCCATTGGGCACCCGCATGCGCCAGAAAGTCGTTCCCTACCAGCAAGCTGGGGAAACTCAAGATGGGATGTTGGAAGTTTTTTCGGCTTCTGAAGAGAGCCCCTTTTTGTCCATCGTGACCATCTTGCTTCCAAGGACTTTCCACCATCCCTGGTGGTTCTTAGCAAGAACGCGGGCGATGCCGATGATGACCGCCAGGCGCGCGGAAGTTCCGGCTGAGATGCG